CCGTGGACAGAAAAAAAAAGGTAATCACTTGGTGCCAAGTCCGGACCATATTTTGGATGGATTAGAACCTACCATCCGAGCTCTTGGAGCTTCTGACGCGTCACCAAAGACGTGTGTGGCCTGGCGTTGTCCTGATGGAACGTAATTCGGCATCTGTTGATCAAAGATGGCCTCTTCTGGATAAGTGCTGCCTACAAGCGGTCCATTAGTTGGCAGTAGAGGGCCGAATTGAGCGTTTGGCTAATCCCACCAAACACACAGCAAAACCTGGATCAACTTTGACATCGGAAATACCGGAACGGAACCTAGCAAACCACTTTTGTGCCACACGTTCGTTTACAGCATCGGGCCTATAAACTAAATAAATTTTTTCAGCCGCTTTTGCTGCCTTTTCGCCTTTATAGAAGAAAAATTGTAAAATATAGCGAATTTGCCCTTTGCTGGTGTCCATCTTTGACGAGCGCTCACAACGTACTGAGTCAATCAATAGAAAAACTGTCAAAGACAAACTTTTACCGCAAATAAACACGTTTCCAGCGCCGTATAGTATGACATGATGCGACACGTAGCACTAGCACTATGGACAATAACGCCATCTCTTAGTTAAAATCCGAACTAACTTTTTACTACACTTAATATGTACGTTCTGAGCGCATCAACCGTCTCTTGTGATGTAGCAAAATTTTGTCCTCTTAGTTCATAATTTCCTTATTGGAATAAAAATTCGTCTTTCGGCCAAGTCAGAACTTCGGCCTTTAGTTTTTCTGATTTTTCGAAAGACAACTGGCAAGCGATTGGTTATGGCCGGGTGGAACAAATGCTTTGTGGACAATACCCTTGGAATCATAATAACAAATCGGCATTGTCTCTACTTTTGACTTTTCGAGGCGCGATTTTTTGGGTTTCGGCTCGTACGGCGCCTTTCATTCAGCACTATGGCGTTTCGTTTCGGGATCATATTGAAAACACCACGTTTCGTCAGCAGTCACAATCTTGTAAAGGAAGTTCGGGTCTTTTTAGTTTGCCTCTTTAGTGATGTCCTTCGAATGTTGAATTCTGATTAAATTTTGTTCGAAGCTCATTTTCGAACCGATAACAAAAACATACCGACACTCAAAACGCAATAACTTCATTTCCAATACATGAAATGCCATGAAATTTTTACTGGAAGTCGATTCTAACAAACTAGTCGACATATAGATGGCGCCAAAAGTCAAAAAGTCCTGCTTACTTTGGAACGCACCTTGTATTCCCGAAAGGTCGTAAAAATTAACAAGAATAATACAAAGCTCGTTGCGGTTTCGAAGCTGTGAAACCCAAGAGGGACTAACGTGCGCTTATTTAAAGTCTATTAGACTGTTGAATTTGAACTTAAGTTCAAAATTAACGGTATTTTTCAATTGGACAAAGATAGTTTCTTTTCCAGGAAGAAGCTTGTGTCTCAGTTGATAAAAGTATAGTTCTCAACTGGAGCTCAATTTACGATTGGATATTTATGGAAATAGTTGTTTTTTTTATTTTAAATTTTTTGCATATTCTAAAAATTATTGGAAAACAAACTATGAAATTCTTTTTTGTTTTTTCTTTTGGCTTATTGAGTACAGATAAATTTTTAATGAAGTCTTGCTAACTTTCACGCCATGCTGTCTTTATTCGGTCAAAATGTATGGTGTGTTGTACGCTCAGGCGGTGATTTCCAACTCTTTCTATAATTATAAATTATTGACATACAAACTTACCTACATGTGTACATACATACATACATATATGCCTATACCATTGCTGTTAATAATAATATGATTTTCGAGCGTATAACAAATGACTTATTACGTGTATTTGTATATTTGTATATACACATGTACACGTATGTTAAATGATATGTATGTATGTATATATGGATGTATGTTTGACAACTGTGGCCATAACCATGACTTGATTTGAGGTCAATAAACGACTGAGAACGCCGCTATATGAAAATCGTCACTTTGGTTGTGTAAAACGCGTAGATTGGAAAAAAAGTAACAATGCGATGGATGAGTCTTCGATGTTGGCTATGCTGGTTGTGTTGTATATAATATATGCTCGCATGTATTTGTATGTATGCACGAATTAGTTTGTGAGAATTTAAACAAATTTTGCAATATCTACGAACAGGTTTTGAAAACGTGCAACACAACTCCAACAAATCGCGCTCACCTCTGTTTTGTGTGCGCTGTTGTAGTAGTTGTTGTTTTTGTTGTTGTATTGAACAGTCCGTATGGCGTTTTTCTCTCACCAACCGACCACTAAGCGGTGTAGTAGTAAGTAGTACCTACATTCATAATTATTTCTCAGCATTTTCAATGAATTGAAAATGAACATTCAACACTCGACACTCGAATTACTTTCAGGTTTTATTTGTGTTTGTATTCGCTTAATATACATATACATATTTACATATGTGTGTACACGTGTATGTATGTAGGTATGCGCAGGTATACATATTTATATACATTCGTGCACAATATAATACATACATACAAGCATAATATACATACATACCAACGTATTATTTATATGTAGTATGTACATAATAAGTACATATATATGTGCCTACCATTGTACGCAAGAGAATTTCAATATGCTTGTAGTGGTATTTGCGCCGGCAATGACATGATCGTTCTTCCTGAGTTAAGCATTTGTAAGAGGTTTATTAGTTTCCGGGCATATTTGTGAGTTAATGACCAATGGTTATTCTTTAATTGTCAATCTAGGCCTGAATTACATACATATATATATATATATGTATGTATATCAACATTGTGCGTACAGGTAAATAACTATGCCTCGAATTACATAATTAGCCTGACCATTACCTCATGTCTAGGTTTTTTATAGCATCGAAATTCAAATCAACCTTCAAGCTCAATAAAAAGCCTGTAGAAAAGTATAGAGCTCTTTAATGAAACGCCTATAAGAGGCAAACTCCCTACTCCACTTCTTCTCCATCATAGTAACTTCGCAAGCCGGCTGATGAGAACAGAAGCACTGGATGCTGAGGCTTGGCGTATGGCTGGATGGGAGGAATTTTCTGTCGAGATCTATTCATCGTTACAGGGCTTAGGCCTCGAATCTAGTGGGGTGTATTTTCGGCGAATGTCGTTGTGAGAAAAGAAGAAGCGGTGGAGAGGCAATGCTTTGGAATCTGGATTATTTCTGTGAGACAGTCCATCCAACATCTAAACAGATAACGAAGCGTCTATTACCGCCCTCAATTTAACTCGTAGCGAGCACTAAGTTTGCGCGTAAGTTAATATCGAATCGCCGCTTTAGGATTTCAACGTACGCGGGTCCAAATCTTTCTAACCTGTCTAAGATCGAGCGATCGGCTTTCGCCTCCACGATCAAAACTCTCACACACACTAAAGGTTTTCTCCCGAGCATTGTCCGTTTGGTATTCGGCAGCGAGTTTTTGTACTTTACCGGACCCCACATTTATCTACATTGTTTGTCAGTCAGAGGGAATGGAATCGTCCATGTATTTTCGGCTAAACTATCCTGTATTTGCAAGGCTGTGATTGAAAATATTCACCAAGATGGTGGAGCTAATATGTTTACTTGCATCTTCTAAGGATCAACCATATCAACCCAAGATAGCCTACTTCCTCCTCAGAATGCAATGAGTGCCACTCAAAGTAGCATGAATAAAATTGTTTTTTTTTTTTCCTACACCTGTATCTGAGACTAGACCATTTGGTGGGCATTCCATGAACTCCCACTAAAATAGTGTGCGTTTTGATATATATATATACGTGTTTTTTGTTCAGAACTCTGGCCATCCGGTAGCATTTCGAATATGAAAATAAAATTTTCTCATACAAATTCGTCAGCTATATACTATATGCGCCGCCGAACAGCTAAAAATAAGTTCTCAGCTGCAGTGTTGGGCGATTTCTTATTGACTAATACTAAAACCCCATTTGGGCTATCTTATGACTTGTTCTGCGCCTGTCCGGTCGAATGATAGACTACAACATAGCAAAAAGCTTGGTGTCAATCAGGAAACCGTGGGGACGGCCGATGACTTACTTGGATTGTTAACGACAAGAGAGTCTCACAAAAAAAAAGAAGCTCAGTCAAGGAGAAAGTGCCGTGATAAATCCCCTCATCATGTAATATGGATCCGTCGGTATTTTCAATCCGACTTGTCTGTAGTCACTACCAAGTGTGAATGTATATTGATCTTGTTATAAGCTTTATTAGGTTGGATTATGTTAAAGTAGATGCTTGGCATCAGCACAATTAAGCCACCACGGATCTTTTGTGATTCTACTGGAATTACCTGAGGCACAGGTCACCGTATAAAATCCGTGTCAACTCCAGTGTGTAGAACCGACCGGCTCATCTGGCCCACCCAAACCCTTCGAAACGGTTTCCTTCCTGGACCTTCCGTTAGATGAGCTCGGTGAGTAGTGTTTCTTGCTTCTAAGCTGAGTTGGAGCACTGCTTCAACAACAAGTTAACCCACACCTCAAAAGTGTCTCAAAGACTTAGATTCCCGCTCATCTCATTCGTACATTCGTTTGCCGAAGCCGCTATGGTAAATTCTTCATTGCGGCAACGGAGATTTACCATCTTGGGTTAGCAGACAAGCGACATTCCTGCATTAAAAGGCAAATATCTTTGCAATGCTCCCGTATCGAAAGAAATTGACTTAAAATTATTTTTAATACATTATTTTTCGTTGTCGCTCGGCACAAACGTTATTGTATGCCGCATCGTTTCTGCGCATGCATTTAATTTGCTGTAAATTTTTTTTTGAAAAATATTATTAAAAGCAATAAAAACAACAAAGTCACAATTTAAGACAAAAACGAGCTATTTAATTTAGTTATTTCTCTATGCAATTTGTTGCAAAAATTGCTATTGGAACACTGTTATTCTACCGTTATAACTCTTTTGCTAACCAAGACTTTGAAATTGTAATATTGATGATTTTCTTCTCTCCCTTTTCGTTTTAGGGCTTATTACGTACTGCCGAACAGTTGAAAATAAAGGGCCTTTGCGAGACAGCTGAAAACACGGACGATTTGAACGACGCTGCAACCGCCACAATCACAGTATCGGAGAATATACAGCAGGCAGTGGTCGGCAATATTGTTAATGCCCCAGTAGCAACCAGTCAACTCTCGCCCAATATACAACATCAACAACAGCAGCAACAAATTGCAACTAATACCGCAGTGCTTACGCACAATATTGGCAACATCACCACTGCAAATTCGCAACAAATTGGCACAACAACAGCAAACACTGCTGGCCAGTTGCTGACAGCGGGCTCATCAGGCCAACAACAGCAAATAGGACGTAAATCACGTGTACGTAAGCGTTCAAAATCTCCGGATCTACAACAGCAACAAGTGCATAATAGCCAACAACAAGTGCAACAACATCCACAAACAATTTTAATACAAAATCAAAATCAAGCCGCTATCGTTAGTTTACAACAGACCTCGTCTGGCAATTATATACCAGTGTCCGGAGGACAAACGGTCACCACCAGTGTAGCTGGCCAGCAGCAAACTGTAATAACCGCTGACGAATCAGATACGGACAAACCGGCGCTGTCGAAAATCTGTAAAACAGAAACAGCATCAGCGTCGCCTGCGTCGAGCGCATCGGGTGTATCGGGTTCGAATAATGCCGGAAGCGTAACAACAGTTGCAGCACCAGGTACAGCGATTGTTACGCAGATAGTAGTGGCACGAGACGGCAAAGATAAAAATATGACTAGTTTAGGAATGGGAATGGTAAGTAAATAAAGTAAAATATATGTTGTTGGTATAATAGAGAGAACTTTTCTTAATATAATGGTAAAAAAAAAAACCGTAACAAAATATAAAGATAATTTCGAAAATAATCAATGGAAGCCCAGTCAATAGTTGTAAGCAATATTAACATAACGGCACTGAATTTAATAAGTCGACTTTTACCGACGGCTCTTTAACGCTATTTATAGGGAGCCAAAGAAAACCTTCCTTGAAAGCTCGTATGCAAAAAAGTTGATATCAATTAATTTTTCCTTTTTTTAATTTCAATTAAAAATTTTTATTTTCGATGAATTTTTTTTTTAATTTCGATGAACTTTTTTTTTTAATTTTAATGAATTTTTTCTTAATTTCAATGAAATTTTTTTCCAATAAGAAGTGTTTTTTAATAGCCTGCTATACCCGTAGATTTGACTTTTGAAGCTGTAATTTTATGGCATTTAAAAATTATACCAGTAATAAATACGGAACGATACCACGCTCCAACAACGCATTAAAATTATTAAAATTTACTATGAAAACTTCATCGAAAAATCAGATTTGCTGCTTAAGTTCATTTCCACCTCATTTCCATTACGTCAAAAGAAAAACTGTCGCGTCTGCGGCTCTTAAAATCCAAGATTTAATGCCTTTCCATCCTCACTGTGTAATTTTTTGATTTAGTTTATGGTCCAGCGGGGTCATTGGACCTTACTTTTTCGAAAATGAGGCTGAAGCAATAATTACGGTGAATGGATTGCGCTATCGAGAGATGATTAATGATATTTTATGGCCGGAATCGGTGGATGGTATTGATCGAGGAAAGTTTCTTTGAAAATAATACCTCCTATGGGAAAATCTCTTTTTTATTTGAAAAATATCTTAATTTTTTTATATTAATTAAAAACCTATGACATGAAATAAAGCTCTTCATAAAAAACCATCAGTCGTTGGGAGGCGGCTTAGTATAAACTGTAAATCCCTCCATTTGTTAAGCAATCATCAAGGCGCAAAACCGCAATTTGGAAGAGGAGCTTTGCCGAAAATCTCTTCAGCCCTTACAAAGCGCCAATTATATAATATAAGGGACGGCTGTCGTAAGAGGCGTCTAAAATCCAATAGCTCCCGCAAAAGTCGGGTCTTTAAACCGGACCGACTCGAATTTTTATTCCGTCAAGTACTGTCACTCCAGTAATATTCCACGAAACCCAATTTAGGGAAAATTTACTTGGGCCCAAAGTTATTATATAATTTCGTATAATATTGGCAATATACCAAGGGTTGTTTCCTTGTTTAATATTAGCTGTAGTAAAAGGTAATCCATTATTTTTTCCAATAGTTGACGTTATTTATCTTTATCTCGCGTTGTATAAGTCCGATCGGGTGCCGCTAGATGGCGTTAGAAAGACGACATTTCGTACTAAAAAAGCTTTTTGACTGTTTTGTTATTGATTGATTCAGTTCTGTTTGAGCGTGGGTTGAGGTTGGACACTAGCAAAGAGAAAATCCGCTATATTTTACTGGTTTTTTTTTCGATGAATGCGAAAACGCTAGCCGAGCGGCTGAAAGTGTGAATATTGTTTATGGTCCTTACACGGTTACAGTCAATCATGAACAATACAATTTCGGTTTCATTCCGGTAATTTTCATGTAATAGATGCTTCACTGAGTGAACGGCCAATTGTCGAAAGTGTCGATTAAGTCATGGACATTGCCGAGTGTGGCAGTCATGTAAGCACCATTTGAATAAGGCAGAAAACGAAAAGAAAATTAATAGAAAATATAAATATTAAAATAATGGATTTCTTTTTACTACACCAATATAATATATGCCAGTACATAGTAAAGTCGCCATTAGTTTTATTAATCGATTTTCGATAGAAAAATGTTTATATATGCATTATTATATGTGATAAACATATTAAAGTTTTATTATTTAATTTAATTTTCAGAATGGCGGAATTCTTGGCGTGCCAATGGGCTTTTTAGATTTTGCACCAGAACCACCAGCACCTTCAGCTACACCTGTAACAGTAACAGAACACGTTGACTTATCATGTAATCCTAATACAGACACACGAGATTTATCAAGTGAGTTTTTGGTACTCGTTACTTGTTATTATAGCTAATTTTTATCGGTGTACTCTATTCAGAAGTGTTCATATCGTAGTTGTAAAATAATAAATCGTTCATTGATTTTAAATGTATTGAATTATCATTATGTGTAGACCCCACCGAAGCACTTGATATCGACAATCACTTGGCTCAACATATGATTCAACGGCTTGATCAATCTCCGATGCATGCTATTCATCATCAAACGGGCGATGAAAGCAATTCGAATTTAGTTCAGCATATTAAGAGTGAGGTGATTGATGCGAAACAGCAACAACAAGTACAACAGCAACATCATCAGCAGCAGCAACAACAATTGCATGCTCAACAACTTTCACAGAATCAAGCACAGCAACATCAACAACAACATCAAGTACATCAACAGCAAACTTCACACTCACACACAACACACGTCCAGCAACAAGCGCAAACACATCAGGATATCACAGGCGCAACAGTCATGGAAATCGATCCTAGCCAAATTAAGCACGAACCGGGAATGATCATAACACCGGAAATCGTCAATATGATGACAACCGGACATATGGGTATGTGGGAAGCCTACTTGCTTACATACAATCATTTAACTCAAGTAACAAAAAAGGGAAAAGACTGCGATTTTTTTTTTACTTAGAGAACATTTCAAATATAAAATATGAGAAGAATTCAGTTTATTGCCGCTTTCGAAATATTTTTTTTAACCATTAAAATCATTTGCTCCTGAAACTTAAGTCTACACTTTCTTCGCGTTTTTAAATTTCATATCTATATGATTTTATGACACTGATAAATTTTTTATTCGAAATATTCAATATTTAAATTTGTCATTTATAGATATGTATAACTCCGATACAAGTGAAGATTCAATGATGATTGCAAATGGCTCGCCAAACGACCAAAATGAGCCACACTATACCAATTTAGACCAACAACATGTGGATAGTAAAGGTCAGTTTAATGGTCCCAAGACTTGGACTCAAGATGATATGAATTCAGCTTTAGATGCATTGAAAAATCAAAATATGAGCCTTACAAAGGCTTCAGTTACATATGGTATACCATCGACGACTTTATGGCAACGTGCCCATCGTATGGGCATTGAAACGCCAAAGAAGGAAGGTGGTACTAAATCATGGAATGAGGATTCTTTAAATAATGCTTTAGAAGCCCTGCGCTCGGGACAAATATCAGCCAATAAAGCGTCAAAGGCTTTTGGTATACCATCATCGACATTATATAAAATTGCACGTCGAGAGGGCATACGCTTAGCGGCACCATTCAATGCAGCACCAACAACGTGGACCCCAGAGGATTTAGAGCGTGCATTAGAGGCAATACGCGCCGGTCATACGTCCGTTCAAAAAGCCAGTGCCGAATTTGGTATTCCAACAGGTCAGTTCTTTACTCATTTAGTATCCTTATAATGCATATACAATATACTAAGGGATTGATAAAAATCACGAAAATTCGCTTTAGTTCTTTAAGAATAGTTGTCCACTAGGGATTTTACAATAAAAACAAGTCAAGCAAAAAGGCAGTTCCCGAATGAAACGGAATAATGTCTCAAATAATTTTGAAAATAGGTATTTCTATTATTCGGATAAGAGACCACAACATCCGAAACTATTTTTTCTAAAAGCGGTCAACCCTCGGCATGAAATAAAAGCGCCTCATAAATATTCAGTGGCCGTTCGGAGGCGGCTTACAATAAACTATCGGTCATTCAATTTGTTGGAAAACCACTGTATTGGTAGATGAGCTCGGCCGAAAATCGGTGCAGGGTTTACAAAGTGCCTATTACACATGTATATACTATGCGAATAATCTAAGGAAAAATTCATAAAAATTTGCATGCTCAATTTTGAAAATGTATAATAATAGAAATAATTTTAAATGATTAGCTTAGATGAAAAAAAAGTTTTCATTCAAAAAAACTTGAATTTCCTCTCTAAAGGTACACTTTATGGTCGTTGTAAACGCGAGGGCATCGAACTGTCTCGTTCAAATCCCACACCTTGGTCAGAAGACGCAATGAATGAAGCATTAAATTCAGTACGGTATGTTAAATTTGAACACTTTTTAAAAAAAAAAACTATCAATTCGAAGGCAATTATTTCTATTCAATTAACGTATTTATAGAATTGGCCAGATGTCGATCAACCAGGCCGCGATTCATTACAACCTTCCATATAGCTCTCTGTATGGTCGCTTTAAACGTGGAAAATATGACGTTACTAATACCAGTAGCACCTCCATTAATAATGCATCAGGAAACACTTCAGGAAGCATCGAAATTATCGAACATAGTCAAGAAAACTCGGTGAGTAAAATATTTTTTGCATGTAAATGATTTTTTACATTTATTTATAATATGTCGGTGCACTACTGCTGTATAAAAAAAAAAAGTTTTGTTTTTAAATGACAAACTTACATTTTCTGCTTATCTAATTAGATTAAATAGAGAATATAAAAAATAAATAAATATGACGATCGGATGTGTTGATACTCTGTACATGGAAGTTATGAATGCATACATCTGTACATACATATTTGCAGTTTGCGTTGCACTTATTTGTTATTTGTTATATAACGAATACGTCAATAACTAAATTATAAAGTTACATGTGTTTCAGCAACAGTTCCAGTATAGTCCGTCACCACATCAACAGGCCCAGCATGGCGGTCAATCTCAATCACAGACACCTCAACATTTAACTCAACATGTTGTGCACATTCAACAGCCACAGACTCATCATCAGCAACAAGTACATGCTCAGCAGCAGCAACATATCCAACAACAACAAGATGTTGTTACATCCAGCAGCCAGGTGGCACATAGCAGTGCATCAGGCGGACAGCAACAACAAATTCAACAGATCTATCATCATCACAGCACGCCGGAAAGAAGTTGAGAATCACTGCAACAAGCAGCTAGCAACAGCAACTCAACAACAACTAACAGCAGCAACAATAAACGGAAGAAAGGCTCGAAAGGTAAACGTTGAGAAAGGGACACCAGTGATGTGTTTTTACGTATGGAGGTTTGCAATAAGATAGTAAGAGAAAAAAATGAAAAAACCGAACAAGTTAATAAAAGGAAATTAAATGTGAGGAAAACAAAAGGACATCGTAAAAAGTTTAAATTAAAATTGTTTTCGACCTTTTCGGATTGAGTTTGTTTCAGAATTTTTCATTATTCAGTTGAGCGAAACCGATTCAGAATATGTCGCGGAATTATTGGGCGTGAATGATACATATAACAAATATTTCGATTAGCACCTATTAGAGTGAAAGCGTATATCACTTTCCTTAATCTAAATAAGATGGAAGGAGTTCTTTTGGCACTCCCTTAAGGGAAAAGTTTTATTAGATGTACACACAAAAGGCGGTTAAAAGGATTTAAGGGAGTATATAAGTAATCACGAATGACAACTAATTAATTGTCCATGGGTTTAATAGCCACAAAATGTTTTATTTACTGATGTTGATTATCCTTTGAAACAAAAAAAAAAAGAAAGAAAAACAAAAAAAAAACAAAAGTCAAATGGATTATCCCCTTGCATAATAGAAGAAAATGGATTTGAGAAATGAATTGTATTTTTGATAATTGAATAGTAGCAAAACAATATTAAATAAAAAATTGTAGAAGAAACACATTTCGAACAGTGTCGTTCGAAGGAGTTGAAGTTAAAAATATTTAGAGACGTGACAAAATTATAAATAAGTTCTTTCACCACTAGATTTAGTGAAAAAAAAAAATAGTTTTTATCTTAATATATATATACATAAATTACGGTTTTGTCAATCAAAACTAGTAAAAAATTTAAAAAAAAAAAAACGGTTCAAATGTATGTTTACATTTACCGTACTGAATTAAAATTATGTAATTGGAATAGAATTATCCAGTTGATTTGAGTTGACCTTTTTGGCTTTTCGTTGAATAATATTATGTATTCGATACTTATGTATGTAGATGCCTAAAATAATGTTGATAATTTTCTTGTAATTTATAGATAAGTTTTTTTGTTCAAAAAAAAAAAAAAACATAAAGAAACACTAAAGAAATGAAAACATTCATTGAACAGAATTTGGATATTTTTATTTTCAAAATCTATACCACTTACACATACAAACACGAATGATCTATTAAACAATTGCTAATGCAAATATGAAATATCAAAATTTTAATTTATATATAAATATATATAAAAAGTACATACATAGTTAAACGCAAATACAAAACATAATAAAAAATAATAAATAATCTCGAGACATAATATCTTGCTATATAATAAATCATTCTACATTTAGACATATTATAAAAGCATCATCAACTAGAAATTTGTTGCTGCTGTTTTGAAAATTGGAATAGTAAGAAAAACATCCTTGTGGACAAACTCCACAATGATAATCTAATGTTAAACAGATAAAATCATAAAGTATAACAAAAAATAATTGTAGTTATTATTACTATTACTAAAGCATTCATATTTAAATAGTATGCAATATAAAACAATAAAAAGCTAACTTTAAAACATGTCAAGTGAGTGTACACATTAAGTCAGCAACTTCGAAAGCAGGTTGGTTTGGATCATAGAAAGTGTTTTAAATGAAGGTTAAACATTTCGGTTCATTTTCTTTGTTCATAATAAATTTACATATTGATTTGCATTGTAGTTTTAGCTTTAGTCAATTACATACATACATATGTATACTGCTTAATTTTTATTGATTTACTAAATTCAAGTACGTTCATTCGACTTGCTAAAAATAGATTAAACTCAAATATTTATATTGTGTGGAATAACAATGATTTATTGTATTTAACTATTCGAGCAGTAGGAAGTCTTCTGCAACGTCTTGCAAAGCAAGCCAAAACTGTAAGAAAGGTAAAGTTTTTAAAGCACACGCTTATACATATTTTAAAACAAGACTTACTTCAAAATTAAGGGGAAAACAAATTATAAATTATGGCATGGTTGTGTTAAGTGTATGAGAATTTCAAATAGCACCAACAAACTTGCATACATACATGACTAGTGTAGCTCTTTAATGCGGCGAGAATGTGCAAAATCAGCTCAATTAGTCGATAAATACACATACATATATGTACATATGTGCTATATTTCCTGGGCCTAGTTACAGAATCAGTTGCTGGTATGTCAATTCAAACTCATGTACATTTGTATGTATGCATAGCTGATTTTGGCCTTTCTCCAAGCAGAAAATCGAAAAAAAAAATTATTTCTCATTTATAAGGTTCGGGGTTTATACATATGTATGTCGAAAATGCTATGAAATGATATTTATGATAATAGTGTACATAAAACATTATGACAAATAAATATGGATGTAAAAATCACATCGTGAGGACTTTGATATGTCTGCTTTAATGAAAGACTGATAATACTTCAGTCAAATTTTCAGCGAACCCAAATGTCGTTATTCATGGTATTAACAGAAAGTCAGTCAACGCATTCCTTAATTCTCTTGCTGTGAATAACTACGGCATCTGAGGTGCTCAAGATGTCTCGTGAGATCTAAACAAACCTAGCGGCAATAAAGGTCTGTATACTGTGGAAGACTTCATTCCACATTTTTGCATGTCGGCTAAAATCGACACATCTTTCGTCTCTTGCTTTGGATTGAGCCCATAAAAACAGCTCATTTCATGTAAGTAAATCATTTCGGATCTTAATATGGCTTCACAGGGAATATAATTACTCTTAGTAACTTTTAATCATTTCATCAACCAAATTAACGTAAAAGAACGGAGCTGGTGGAATAGATCGACGATTTGAAATTATGCTTAAATAAACCTCGCCAAACATAACGAATTCCTCCTTTTCGGATGAATCACAGTGATTATTATTGGGTGCGTGATGAAAAGAACAGCAGTCTTAGTTGTAGCTCTCTCTTATCGAGTGGTAAACAGAGAATCTAAAAAAATAATAAAAGTAAAAATAAAAAAAAAAAAAAAAAAAAAAAAAATTTAAATAAAAAAGCCGCAGCGCAAGGCACATCAATCGCTCAAGCAGCTTAGTTGCGCTTAAATGACGCGT